CTATTACATAAAAATAGAACAAATTTCAATGGCTATGAGTTAATATTAATTTTGTTAGAATAGAAGGTTACATATGCAATATATTACACGAAAATCATTTATCTCTAGCTATTCTGCGTCGAATGTACAGCTTGGGCTGGAATTATTTGGCACTGGAAAATTGTGTCAGTAAACTGGACTTTTTATTAATTGCTACGGATTGTTCTATAATGTTCACACTGTTTTGTAGTTGTCTAATTAGCAGAAAAAAGTGCATGCAGTCTATATTGAAAATAACCACGTCATACCATAGCGATGATTTTTTCGTAAATCGCAATTAAATTCGTGACGACGACACGAATGTTTTCGATAAATTCAATAGAAACCTAACAAACATAGAACAGCAATCTGCAAAACGGATTAAAATACATAAGGTGTTTTGGCTCCATAAAGGGAAACTTCCATAGGCTACAGTGGAAATCATGTGACTTCAACGGCAAGCCGCTATTAATGTAGGTTGATGTAAGCGACGCAACTAATGCTCTCGTAATAGTTTTTCGACACTTCTAGAGAAACGATATAACCTTCGACATATAATTGATCGAAGAAGATTACAATCATCGCTTTCACGATATGTACTACATAATCATGTTTAGAGCTTCTAGTCCACGCGCAGAGGAGTGGACTGGAAACGAAAACAATCGGTATACGATCAGCAAAACAGATTCTATGGGACGCCAAATTTTCTCCACTTGGAACTTTATTTGGACGCGGAAAAGCTCTTGTCTTCTGAGCCTTTGATTTATTACGTACGGAACAGTTAAAAATCTGTCAGATTTCTTCGATAGTAAGACAGCAAACACATAGATGTTGTAAAGAACAAAGCATCCAATTACCACCAGACGGGATCCATGCAGACGGTTGATTAATCGGTAACCCTGCGAATGCGAGTTTTCTGCGGCATTTCAATTAATTTCGAGGAAATTAAGCATTCTGTATTAGAAATTATGTTAGTCTCGAGCACCGGCATCTTCAAGACGATAAAATAACTGCAGAATTGAGAAGCTATCTTCAAAACGCAATTTTCTCTATATACAATTTTCACTATAATTCAGGCTCAAAATTCGGTTGTGCTCTATGCAGCACTAAGCTAAGCAAAAGAAAAACGACAGGCACTGCATAATAATAATAATAAAATTTGTCGTATATTATAGAATTTCATTTTGAAAACTTCGTATTTTTTTTATTCTTTACTCGAATAGCAAAATGCTCAGACTATTAAACTGACTTTATGCCAAAAAAATGAATGAGATTGACGCGAAGCCTTATCTACATATATGGGGCACCTATCTCGATGCATATATTGCAACACGGTCATCTTTTTCTCGTGTTGAAATTGATATTAGGGCACTAAGCGTGATCGACCTCTGATTTTGCGCCCACGTCCAAACTCCCATAGAACGTTCTAAATTCATAGAATTGGTCCAAAGGTAGTAAGCATCGACATCGTCACGACGGTTAGATATACTAGCAACACTCTTGAAATATCGCAAGCGAAGCTAAACAACTCATAAATACTTTTTTTTGGTTTAGAAAGGGTTAAACAATGCTGTTTTCTTCTTGTTCTGACTCGCGATTCGATCTGTTTTCTCAGTAAGGTGTGCTATGTCAAACAAGTTCTGGCTGAGTAGAGCTAGCGAGTTATCTAATCCATGAAAGAACTTGTCAATTTTATTGTATCACAGCTGCCTTATAGGTCGGACCGAAGTAGCCACCGCAGGCTTTGTAAGCCAGAAGTTTTTATAAAGAAAAAAATACAAACTGGGTCTAGTTGATCGGGTTAATTTATTTTAACAAAAACTTGTGGACTCTATTCCCGACTTGTTGTCACGATAAACGGACCCTTCGCCGACGTATGACGGACGTGAGTTGGACGGACAGACGGACACTACCACCGCAATACATATGTTAAAAGATTATGTTCCTCCATTTGTTGTGGCGGACACAGCTAAGATTTGTTTACCCGAAATCGACATTGGTAAATTGCTCTAAAGATACTGATAGTGTTCTCCTCTTTTTTCATTGCACCATTAATTACAATGACGATTAATATTTGTAGAGTATAAGGCTCAGCGTTTTAAAAAACGATGCTTCTCAGCCCAGCCACGTTAATCGAATATACGGACTCATACTCAATTAATTGATTATAAGTCAGTGTATTCGATTGAGTTTGTGCTGTGTTTCGGTTACAGGCGAAACACTACTTTTATGCAACACTATAGGACCGCCATTGTTTTGACGGTGCTGGTCATTTTAATGATAGTTCGTTACTGCATTCCATAATTACTGTTGCTTATCGCCCGCTGTGACCACCGTCGTCAGTAGCTGCTGCTGAGACATTAGCGTTCCCGGGCTAAGGCCGGCAATGATGATGCCTCTTTTTGTAAATGATGATTATTTTTTGTTTTCTGCTAGTTAGAGCTGTCAGGCAGATGGTGCCATGTCGGTTGCAGTCACACAATGACCGCTGTTCTATTTAACTCAACATAGAGAAATGTGTCTTTGCCTCAACGTGTAAAGCCATTCCATCTTTAGTCGATTATATCAATTACCTTGGCACGCATCAAGCTTATGCTTTCGCGTACTAATGTCGACTCCACTGCTTATGATGGATGCGGTAATCGTGTAGTCGTTGGTCAACACCTATGAGTATGAAGGTATTGTTAAGTTTATTTCTTTTTCTACATTAGTCCGTTACCCTGTCCTTTCATTTTGTGGTCTGTCTCGCTGTGCCTATCAAATGATCGGCGATGCCTTATGACTGTTCACATGTCTGAGCGTCTGATTGCGGGCTTGATTGCTGGCTGAATATCCGTATGCATAACTTTTAGCTGCTCGTTACGTTCATGTCGCGACTGTAATGAACGGCGAAAAGAATTGCCATGTCGAAAGGTACTAGATGATACAGAAATTTAAGATACAGTGGCAGTTGCGATGTTCCTGCTGCTCACTGAAGCCATCGCTTTGAATGGCAAAGACAGTGAAGACTTCGAAGATGAAATTGCTCATTTCATTCAATCCGATGCAAAATTGCTCAGGAAAAGGGGCGAACAGGAGGACGTTCACTCGCCAAGGTCGTTGCGGCTGGTGCAACCGCAAATATCGTTCGTCTGCCGTTGGCACGTTGCTGCTTAGACAGTTTCCGAACTAGACACCGTCAGAGATTCTGACGAAAACAAACGGATATAGTTGAAGATTGGGCTAGCTTCGGCCATGTGGATCGGCTGAGTGTGTGTATATGTGCATTTGTGATACCTGGCTAGTTTTACTTATAAAATAGCGATTTTATTCTTACTGATTTATGCCGACTGCGAATACGTTTGTTCGTAGATGTGGAGTTGTATTTGAATAAGGCAAAAAATACATTTTGGACAGGACCGTGTTTATCGTAAGGCATGCTTGGTAGCGTACTAATGTCAACTTCAGAACTAGAAGTCTGAATTAGTAGCCATATGCGATGTGCGCGAACTAGGTTACTAAGATAAAAGTAAACGAAACATTCAGTCAGAGTTATTATGTAGTTAGGTACTGAAAAAAGATAACCTTATTATCGAGCTCGTTGCTAAAATATTCTTGAAAGCTCACAGAGATTTGTGTTCCTCTGTCGAATACAACGAATAAATTTATGGCAGCACCAATTTTGTATGTAGATACTTCGGCTGACACTGTTCTGACACACAGGCAATATTCCCATTTGAGTTTTATGGATATCCAACCGTCTCTCAGCTTAACAGCCCGCAGTTCCCTAGAGCAGAATTCTGCAGCAGAAAAGTCCGTTCCTGAAGTTCGCAGTACACGATGCCCAGTGATAAACATCTAAAACAGCAACAAGATTGGAACGGTTTTGCTACACTCGGCAGATTTTACAGTATCGTCGAAGAGGCTCCTTTAACTAACTAACTTATAGGAAACGATACTCATACCACGAAGTTATAGTTTTATCTATAGCGGTTAACCGCATCCGCGCATGCGACATAGATAGAAACGAAAAGACTGATACTAATCGACCAAGGATAATTAAGTGTTGATTGGTATTTAATTCTACTGTTCGATTTGAATGGTTAGCGTATTTACGTCTCGCACTACGTAACCATACATGTTTGTATTTTGTAGTATATTATGTATATTGCTTATATATAGATAGTATGTATATATAATTGTTTCCTGTTATTCAGCCATCTGAAAGATTTGCCGAACGGAACTTTAGCGTGACAATTTGCGGTTTTGTATTTTGCGGACGGTTTGCGATTTGTAAACAGGCCATACGTTCGAAAGCTCCAAGTTGCGTAGTCTGAAAACGTAAAATTGTTGTCTTTTAAAGTAATCAACCTTCAACGGCACGCATGCACACGCAGACACACAATTTGTCTCTCTTGTACGGTATACAATGTTGTCGCAGTTATGAGCTTGTCTTTCAATCGGTTGACTAAGAATCCCTACTTGCAGTTAATTTAATGGTAACGAAAAGGTTTCCTTTACTCAAAGTTTTTCTATTGTTTATTGAAATATTGTCGTACTGTTTGTGATTTGCAAAAGACAAGGATGGAACGTAAAAAGTATTTCGTTGATTTGGGTTTGATGTCAACGCGTTAATATCGTTGTGTTTCTGAAGTCAATCCATCCTATTTATGTTTTTCTCTTTTTCATAATACGAAACCTGGTATATGTACATTGTATGTATATTAGAGCCTTGAAGGGTTGTTAGTCTAATGTTTCCACTGAAATGTCATAAATCGATAAATTAAAAATTTAAATAAGCTTGCACGGCGATGATAGGTACTATCAGTCGCTTGTTATTAACAGGCTGATGCGCAGTCGCATTGTATTTCCCCGTTGTATCTTTCCTCTCGAATATACTCTCTACATCGAGTTTTACGCCCGGTATCACCGTTACGCATTCCATCAGAGGATTGACTCTTATCACGAAATACTCTATCGTTTGCTTACTGCTGCCTTTGCAGGTTAGATCATTGGGGCACGACCATGTCATCCGGACAGGTATCTCCGATGACTCCGCGATCTCCCCCGTCCACTGGGCATCGCCAGATTCTAGCTCAACACGTGTCCAGGCCAATTGTAACTCCAAAAGACGACTGTTCCACTCCGGGAGCCGGTAGTCAGGCAGCAGTCGACATGCAGCTAGAATTAGCCGAACGCGACGTGATGATATCGACGCTTGAACGGCAGGTGGAGGAACAGAAACAGCTGCGAGCTCTCGAAACCAGACAGATCGAGCAGAAAGCCGCTCGAATAAAAGACTGGGTATCAACAAAGCTCAAAGAGGTACAGTGCACAAGAAAAGCATGAATGACTGTTGCACTCAGTGCCACCGTTTACGAATGCTATTGACGGTCGTGATGACGTTATTTCACAATAGTAGCATCATCAAAGAAAAAAAAAAAACCTAATTAGACCTGTAGTTTATTTTAAACCAAAATGCTATTTTTCATTTGGTTGCTCGAAAATTATGAAACTCGTTTGTTAGACAGAAGGGAGAAAATTTTAAAGCCAAAGGTGAGCTTGCATAGTAATGAGCTCCTTTCGAGTAGATCATTGGTGCCTGCAAACGAAGTGTACGACTGACCACTATCGAATTAATATAGCTTGGGTATGTAGACATGCTTCGATTAGCAACGATACATGAGGTGCCTGTGTAATACGTTTCCCGGCAATATAGAGATGTATCTGCACATATAAAGGTGGATCAATGGATTCTTCCTGCCGATCCCGATCGAATGAATTTCAGTTAGAAGAGCAGAACGTCCATCTACAGGAACAGAATGTCAAAGCTAATCAGCAATTGGACCAGCTGAAGGCGCGACTTGTTCAATTATCCAAGCTGAACACGAGGCCCGCGACGGCGCGCTGCTCACATCTTTATCTTGATCTCGACAACTCGTTCAAAGGCAATGGCGATAATGACGAAGAAATAGAAAGGTAATTAGTAAAACTGATGCGTTACTTACTTATTGGATGCTATTATGCCCTTAAGCTGAACTAACGTTATACGAGTGAGGCGACGGTCAATGGATTTTCTTTTGAAAATATGCATGTAGCACACGAACTAGGGGTAATTTTCGTTAGGCTTCAAGTGGGGTATCAATGAGCGTCTTGCAAATGCATAGAGAGCTAACGTATGCTAACTTTCGAGGGTGAACGGGCTATTAAGATCATGCATTTTGATGTATGTATCCGTGTTCAAAAATTGAGTCATTATTGGCCCGTTGAAGATCCATATTTCTCTTACATGGTGCACTTGTTTTTTGTCAATGAATACCGAAGACTATCCCGTCAAGTAGAAGCAGTCGCGCAAGAGCTCGGTGCAGACTCAGTCACGATGAATCCGCTCTATTCAATGGAATCACCTGTCAAGGTATTTGATAGCGTTTTTTTTTGTAACTAGGCTAAAAATATTCTTTTTCATTTTTATATCTGACTATCATAGGCTATAATCATGCTATTGTTACCAGCTCTCGATTTGTCGGTAGGATCGTTATAATCAAAACGTTGACACTTTGTAAAAATTGTGTATTCTACTCATGCGATAAATATGCATAAAACACACGACAAAATTCGTTGAGCTAATGAAAACCTACGCTTTTTAATATAATTTAGCGCCACTAATCATGATATGCCCTGTACGAAAGCTGTTCATTGTGCGGTGATTTTCAGATAAGTCAGCCCAAAACACCGAACCCACCTGCCGTAAAAATGGGTCGCAAAAACTACGTTTATCCTGGAGGCGCTGACGCGTCCCTTTTGAGTACGTCGATATCGGACATGTCGCAGGACGACCGTGAAGGCTCGTTGCTCAGCCTAGAAGCTCACCTGGCAGCCAGCGAGGCCGCCATCAGGTGAGCGCAGTAGAAAACTTGATGGACCGAATACAGCGAATGTTCAAGATGGGATCTTAAAAATGGATTTCTACCAATGCAGTATATCTGCCATTTAAAAAAAACAGTCAGTTTTTACTAGTTAACGGGGAGGTAGATTTTAGCAGTGATTCAATGAGACATTGGAATACATGCACACACACACACACAGACATTGTGGAGGCCAGATGTCCGCAAAAGTCCTCGAAATCTCCGATACTTGAAGGGATTATACTTGCTCGGAAAGGAGTTTGTGACGTTGACTATTCGTTGGTCGCCACCATGACCGCAGTCAGCGGCATGCGACCGCGCTTCCTCGCCATCAACATTAGCGTGTAAGTGCTCGTCCACAAACAGCTTAGGCTTCTCACCAGGCAGCTCTTCCCTATCGAGCTAAGTACTATAAGTCAGCTAAAACAGCTGTAGTCGCTGCTAGTTGTTTTGTCGCCGGCTTACCACAATTGTCTGGCGGGTTGGCGTCAAGAGGTGTGCTACATCGAAATACTACGAGAGTATCATGACTCGATGTCCGTGCTATCCAACGCCGCTCTCAATGAACCGGATCGGCGTTCCCACCTATCCGCTTTCTATACCACGGTTAGAATAGGTTGCTAGTTAACATTTAGCGAATAATATGTATATCGTTTCCGTATTCTAAGCTGCCATTAAAGTTTAGGCACGTAGACTCCTAGCAAATGACCATACAAAAAAATTCTATATAGATCGGCCTTCGAACGTATTTTCACAGAGCCAACATGATATTTTTTCTCAGAAAAATCTTTGTTTCTTTCTTTCACGGATAGCAAAATGTCCAGTTACGGTTGTGGAGTATTTACGTGTTTGCTCCAATTTCAGAAACAATGCTTACACACCAATGGCGCCTCCATCTCCAATTGTGATTCATAGCGGATTCTCGAAACCCGCATCGGGCGCAGGCTCCCTCGACAGGTCTGGCCGTGGGCCGGTTCGAAAGCTTCGTGAGGGTGAAATTCGAGGTGGCAGTGAACGTGATAGCAGGAGAAAACCTTCGGCTGCTGCAGGCGGAGTACACGCTGGGTTTCACAGCGGTGCGCAACGAGCCCCGACGCCGCCGCTACACAGATGTCCCAGTTGGGTGAGTGCTGAAGCGAGCATTATGCAGTGTGCCCTATATATTAGGCCAGTGAGTAAAGCTAAAACGTATTTGTGGTCCAATAGAACGCACAGCTCTTCAGCCTCCATGAAATTATGGATCCCGAAGTTCTCTTTAGAACATTGATGTGAATAAATTGAAATCGTCGAAATTATTCTATCGTTCATTTTTTGCCTAAACATTGGCAGGATACTTAAGAAAGACGAGCAATGCCGACAAGTTAAGCACAGAGAAAGACTTGTATTTGATTGCTTATTAAATGGCGAAGTCAACGAGATGCTCTGAGAAGTCAACAAAAATTTTACGTATTCACGTAACACTACTCTATGAATTTTACGTTCAGTTGCTGTCAACTGACACAATGCGAGAGGCACAGGGCACTAATTATGTTTTCGTTTTTTTTTTACTTTCCCGTTTTAGCGGAGAACGGCAACCGTAAGTTGTTTTTGTTTGTGGCGGTTTTAGGCAACTAATTCCTTTCTAACACAATATCCTGCGTAGAACGCGCCAGCTTTATAAACAAATGACTGTACTTCAATACGGTTTGGCGGCTTCGTGTATCTGTCTGTGTACAAATTGCACTACTTTTTCGGCTTTTACGTCCTGTTAGCCCTCCCAGTATGAAACGAAACGCCGGGACTCGAATCTATACCAGCTCGCCTATCTCTGAACCTAGTAGGTAGACACGTTGCCAGCCCACCATCAAGGAAACTGCGCCCTTTCTATTATTACCACTACCGTTCCTAGTATTACTAACCCAAATACGCGCTGCTTAATACATGCGAACAATGATCAATGCTGTTTTCTGCGTTTTGTATCACAGCAGAAGTTATCCTAAACAACATGGCCAACGCACGCATTGCATGCTTTCACCTAATCGTCTGAACGTGTTAAATGATGGTATTAATTCTCTAAGCGATTTGGTATTCGGTTAAAAATTTTATGTAAAAGGCCTACGTCCTCATTTGGATCGCGTTAGATCTGCAGATGATTATCGGTGCGAAGGCAGTGACAGCGGTTTATACTAACGCGCCTTATTGTCATAGCTATCTTGCACTATTGTACTAGAGCATTATATGGCCGGAAAGCGTCGTGTTATGTTATTTCCGGCCTCAGCCGTAATGCGACGTTCTCTAATTATGGTGAGGAATTGTCTTTTCCGTACCCCTAATTGTTCAATGTACGCCAAGGGTTTAATGAGGTGGAACTGCTTGAACGTTCTAAATACGATCATAGAGTACAACCGAGCTGCTAGGCTAGAGCTTATTTTTCTTAGCGGGATATGGCTCAAATTATCGCTTGTTAGTTGATTGTAGTGAACTGTATTCTGTCTTAACAAAAATCTAACCGTTTCAACGGCCTCGCAATAATGCTAATAGTAACGGCGATGGTGCGATGATTTTTTTGCATGCTGTGGCTGTTTCTCGCGCGCCTCTGTGTATTGTGTCTGTGCGTCGATGGGCGTTCGGGCTCGTGACTGTGTTGGAGTCGCGTAGGAGTCGCGTATATATCAAGTGACATCGTCCGGTTTGCATCAGTCATGCAACTCCTTAGCGTCGTCTGCTACCGGTCAGAAGTCTCTGGATATACCAATGTATACCGCAGTTCATGGTCGAGCGGCGAAAGTAACAAGCGCTACTGCTGAATCCAGCGATGAATCGAGTGATGGTGAAGCCGTCACCCCGAAGGCAACAGACCACGCCTTAGGAATGGGCCACACGGCGGCAGGATATCATCGTACATCGCACAACAACGCACCTGGACACTTCAAGAGAGGTACGGTTTTAAGGCTGGCTGTACGTTGTCGATGGATCGCTATGAGCTCTCTTAGACGAATGTTCTCTGTCTAAAATGATTTGGTCGAACAACACCAATTAGATAGTTATACACCGTTTTGTTAACGATGTTTGTTTGTCACTACTTCGCATGCTATCTGTGTTTGTGCTGTCGCTTATTGCATTTCAGATGGATCCCTGGACTCAGTTCTTTCTGAGGACTACGCAATACCACCGGACGCGCTCTCCCCGTCGGTGAGCATGGACTCGCTAGAGCCGGGAACGCGGGAGACGGGGGAAGGGCCGTCCGATCTGACGGGCGTCGTCACTCCTCCTGCCGCGCCTCTTGGCCACCCATTGGCCAGTCCTCTAGGGGCAGGCCCTCGGAACGGAGTACACCACGGACATACCACAGGCACACATCATGGTGGCCCATCGCATGCTGCTCACATGTTCGTCGAGCAAATTGAGGCTTTGCACGCACATAGCGCTAGTCCAAAGCGTCATGATACCACGACGACACACCAGCTAACAGAAAAGGTGAGCAAAGCAGAAGCTTAATTGAACTATTTGCTGAGCTATGGAAACATTTTACTGAAGTACATAATAACACAATATGTATATACTGGGAAAGTTGATTGTGACGGTGTATATTAAAGATTAAGTCACTAATCCCCAAAGTTAATAATTCGATATTTTTCTTCCTCGGCTAATAAAGCTGATGAACGGATCTAACTTGGACTGATTTACAGTGCGGATACCTAAGCAAATTGGGCGGGCCATTAAAGACATGGAGGAAACGATGGTTTGTGCTGCGCGAGGGTCGGCTGCATTATTACAAAAGCGAAGGGGATGTCCTCAGAAGGAAGGTGAAGGGTGAAGTGGTCCTAGACGAGGCTGCCCGGGTGCAGAGGACCAATGAAGGTTAGTTAATGCTGCCGAACAATCTATACGATGATTTTAAGTAGCCATGTTACATATATTTATTTGTAATATTTATTACAAAAGCATGCATATTATGAAGTTAAAAAACGATATCATGGAAAAAATTCGTTTTGACAGGATAAACATTTCTTTTTTTCCTTCACAGTATCTAATTTTAAGCAATGCGTTCACTAAAGGAATCGTATGCTGAACAATTGCAGGAATGCCAACGTTCGAAGTGGTGACCGCAAGAAGGACATTCTCGTTAACGGCTGACTCGATGCTGTTGATGGAAGAGTGGCTTAGGGCGATACAAAACGCCCTCTGCCGGAACGCGACTGTTCAATTGCTTAACAGCCAAGATGGGACTGTTAAGCCCGTTATCCAGGGCTGGTGTACAAAGGTACATGATTACATCTCGGGGCCTATAGCCATCTTGCAAGTTCAAAGGCGTCATTCATTCTTATAAACTGAAATCAGTACGAGCGGAAGTGATTAGAAGATCACCGTTAATTGAAATACGTTATGATAAGAGTGTACATATTGACTCGATAGTTTTGTTTTTCTTGAGCGCTGTGACATGCTGCCTATGGCACTGATTGGCCTTTTTTTTTTGGCTAACCAAACATATTATAGTTCTTGACGTGCTTATCGAGTAACGCACGTTTATGCGTTTCGTATAGGTGAAGCACGGCCGTTGCAGAAATTGCTGGTGTGTGTTGTTCCAGAGAACACTGTTGTATTTCCGAAGTCCAAACGATACGACTCCGTTAGGTCAAATTAACATGAGAGATTGCAGGGTTGACGAAGTCGACCATGTGTCCAGTGATAGGTAAATACCGTTGTTACTATTAGTCATTTTACGTTCCCTTCATCGGACACACATGAAAGCTGAATATAATGTGGAATTTGATATAACAATAGTTAAATTAAGACTACATTAAGATCCATCGAGAAGCGACTACCGTATAGGTTCTAGAAAACGACAGCTTGTGCCCACTATGGCCTATCTACGAGTTGCAACGTAATATAATCAATAATTTATATTTAGTTATGTTGATACATGAACTACAGCAATATTTATGCGTGAAGATATATATATATATATATATATATATATATATATATATATATATATCTTCACGCATAAATATAGCCCTTCATAGAAGACTTCCCCTAACGAAACACCTGTATATATATATATATGTATATATATATATATATATACATATATTTCGTTAGGGGAAGTCTTCTATGAAGGGCATTCACAGATTTGGACAAAGGTGAAATGGAGCTCCGTTCTAATTGATCTTGTTCTATTGTACAGTAGTGACGAAGATGAAGTTGAAGATGCTTCGCGAGAAGAAGGTGGGTCGAGTTCTGGGCCTCGAGCAGGTGGTTCGGCAGGTACGTCCCGTTCCTACAAAGAAAGCCGACGCTTTACAATTGGCATCTTTCCGTCAGGCGGTGCCTCAACATCAGCGTCTCCCTCCTACTTGCTGTTCCATGACAAACATGACTTCGATACGTGGCTTTACCACCTCACGCTGGTCAGTTCGAGTGAACATGTCAATGGTGAGTACTTATCATACACATCTATTCGTCTAGCGGCCGGTTCTCCATATACAAACGAAGCACGACTATGGGGCAAGCCTTGTAGACGCATCAAAGTCGCAATTTCACTCTGAGCGATCATTTTTTACTGTTTTGCAATCCGTTTGCAGGTACAGAATTGGAACAGGTATTGGCAAAGTTAGCCGAAGCGCAGGAGATGGGCGGCGGCGGCGGGGATGGAGCAGCGTCCCAGACTCTTTGGCGGTCGTCGATTCTGCTATTCTCGCGCGAGAGCCTTTCGACGCCGTTGACATCCCTTCCGTCGTCGGAACTCCAGGCTGAGGCTTTGAAGATGTTCAAGTCAATCCAGTTGTTCATGTCTGTGCCTCTAGACACGTCAGGCATTGACTATCACGTAGCGCTGGCGCAAAACGCGCTCGATCTATGCTTGGCAACGTTGCAATTACGCAACGAATTTTTCTGCCAAATAATTAAGCAGACATCACGGCACACTCATAAGCAGGGCATGCAGGTAGGTGCAGAGATGCCTTAACGACCAAACGGCTTGAAATGATGGCAAGGGTTTACCAACGACTAGCATAGTATAGAAAATGACAGATTCAATTGACTTGATATCGGTAACTACCGACTGATTAACGGTAAAAGTAGTTACTGACGGGATATATCGTCCCTTTCATTCCGCTCCGCTATGTCTACTGCTAATTGTCCATTCATTAAAGTTAGTTTTGTTTTGATGATACGCTTCGTTACAGCAGTTCCTGTTGTGCGCTACACAGTCGTTGTTCTTGTGCGATTCTAACGAGCGATTGATGCGTGAAGATTCGAAGTTATCAGATTCATTGCCATCTCCTGGCGACAAGGCGTGTGCTCCGGTGGCGTTCGCAAGCACCGAGTCGAAGCTCAACCCAGCGCCGTTTGTTTTCATTCAAGGCTTCCAACTGCTGGCGATTGCTCTGTCCCTATTTCAGCCACGATCGCGTGTTTTATGGTTCCTACGTCAGCATCTGACCCGTGTGGGCGACGCCAATACCGAAATCGGTAAATGGGCGCTGTTTTGTGAGCGCGCCTTACAACGCGCCCTAGATCGACCAGAACGTGCCTGCAGGCCTTCGCGTATGGAAGTTCTTTCGCTGCTGCTCAAAAATCCGTACCATCATTCACATCCGCATTCGATTCCTGTTCATTTTCTAAACGGAACCTATCAAGTCGTTGGCTTTGATGGATCGACTACAGTGGACGAATTCGTAACCACTCTTAACGAGGAGGTGAACATCAGGCCCTGCGCTGGATTCTATCTATTTTCGGACGATCCAATGGACCCAACGGCTGAAATCTGTCTCCAACCCGAAGATCGTCTATGTGATGCCATTTCGCAGTGGGAGCAGGCTCTACGCGAAAAGCACTTGGGAAAGTTTGAAATGAACAAGGTGATCAAGCTCACGTACCGTAATCGTCTATTCTTTCGAGCTAGCCAGAAGGGTGAAACTGACAAAGAACGGCTACTGACTGTGTACTTCCTAAACCGAGAAATCGTTCAAGGGCGCTTTCCTCTAACTAAACAAATGGCGGTAGAATTCTCAGCGCTGATGGCTCAGATAGAGTTTGGCGATCGAGGTCAACACGTACTCGATGAAAGCCACTCGAAATCGAGCCCGAAACGACAAATTCTGGATCGCCTATTGGCAGCTCAATTCGCTCGCGACCCTGACTGTTGGCCCCAACTGGAAGCCAAATGGGTGGCTCTTCGAGGTCGCAGCACAAGTGAGTGCGTGCGAATTTTTCTCAACTGTGTCCGCAGCTGGCATCTGTGCGGAGCTCAACTATTTTCTGCTCGCTACAAGTCACGTGAACAGGTAGCAGTTTGGCTATCTGTTAACGAAGATGGAGTCTTTTTGCTCGATGTTGCTTCTATGAAGGTGTTGGCTCAGTATCCTTACGCGGGCTTGAGTACGTTCGGTGGATGCCGGGGTGACTTTATGCTGGTGGCAGCGGCCGCAGGAAGCAGCGGACCCCAAGACAAGATGATGTTTCATATCCACAGTAAACAAAAGATGCTCGAATTGACGCTGTTGATTGCCGATTACATGAATAACGTCCTAGGCAGGTTCGGTACATCACAGCCTGCCTCCCAAGCATCTACGTTGACAGCTGCACGCTCTGGCATCGCTACGCCATCATCGCCACTTATCGGCGGTGACCGGGCTTTGCGCAGCGCGAAGAACTCACCGATGCACACACTCAAAACGTCACACCATTCAAGTGGTCTCGGTGCCGGGGAATTATGACAACTAGGCAACGTGGTGCCGCCCTCATCGCCTCGATCAGGCACCACGACTACGCCAAGACATCGGACGACTACAGGCAACAAGGCCCCAGATGGGGTCGTAAGCGGTCGCGCCACCTGGAAATAATGTAGGCCTCGAATCAAGAGCTGATGGAACGTCACGCAGTAATTGGCAACGCCGACAATTGTGCAGGTGGGGAAGCGTCTTTTCCCAGCTACGGCGCTTTTATTTACAACGATTTCGTTTTAGGGTAAATTACTATATATTGATGTAAACAAATAACTAAAGGCTATTTTACACATCTACATATATAATATAATGCATACATAGAGAAGATTAGATATGTGGGTATCTCTCTTCTGTCAGCATACTAGCATAAGGAAAATATCCGAACAGATAACTAATTATAACAAGTAGATTTTCTATTATCGTTGATCGACGATGAAACAGCCGTGTACATATGATCGAATTATGGAGCACTTATTTCCGCTGCCAAGAAACGAGGCGTGAATGCGACTTTGAATAACAAGCCGCTTGAAAACGTGAGCTCTGCAGTGTTTGATAACGGCTCTAGAGTAAGCGAATGTTATGTCGCTCTTCGACAGAAGATGTCAAGTTACAATGATTATGAGAACAAAAACACTACCATTTCTGCTTATTTACACTTTTGTTAATATTCAGTTATAGTCATTTATGAAACGGTTTTTGCTCTAGCTATTTACAGTGCTTAGATTCGCTGCGCTTTTAGCCTGTCTTTTTTCAGCTGTACCAATACTGGCTACACATCATGGCCTGCTGGAAAATATATTTCGGCACATTCTATCGGGCAGAATAAGAAATTACCGTTGTTACAGACAATAATTGACTTTGAAGTTCGCTTGCTGTTTGTTTTGCCACCTTACGCCCTTTGCTTTGATTTCCTGTCTCTCATTCGACGCCATTCTGAGGGCTGGCATGATTTCTTCGTCTGCATCTCTCTATGTCAAACGCCCATCCCGTCTTGGCTTCCATAAACATGTCTGCTACCGCATGCCAGTGCGGATCCTCCCTTCCAAGCGCCAAGCAGCCCTAGAACGGCTCGCGTTACCTGCCCATTTGACTATACCCACCAAAGTTAGATGCATAGATTGCCTCTTCAGGACAGCAACAGCACCGAAGAAAGCTTTTCGTTTCAACTCGTCTCCTCTGTTGATAACGTAAACATCCGATTTTGTGCTCCGAATGTGACATTTGTGTCCATAAATCCAACGTAATCGATCAGAATTATACCCAACTGAAAATATCACTGTTACGTTACTATAGAATGATGTTTTGTTTCGTCTTCCTCTCAAGTACTCCTAGTGATTCCAATAGAGCGGGTTCAATTCCGTTCAGTTCTTTTGCAGTTTGCTCAAATGCGAACATTAAAATGCCCGAAATATTGCTGATCGGTGCACCTTGGCCATGTTTCAAATTTTGCCGCCAATATCACCGTTAGGCTTTCCATCGAGCAGCCGACTCTCAGCACAAAACGAAGTCTGTCCGCGTCCGAGTTTCAACCTAGGCCACAACGTGTCCCTAAGATTACCAAGCTGATACGTCGTTTTGAGCGGGTGTCCCTACTATTCAACCGGACCTGATTCCATGCAGTTCTCGTATTTACTTATACCAAGTAAACGCTTGTGAAGATGCAAAAAAAATCCCTTTATGAGAATTTGTAGTTTGCTGTATGATTTGTCGCACAATATAAGCCATATTGAAATGTTGAACATTAAATATAGTTTTTTGCGGCCGGGTTATGTCGAAAACCTTGACACAAAGGTGAGCATCGTATTTTGTCTGTCGAGTTGCTCTGTTCGGTATTCGTTGATATCCAGATATAATATGAACATCACTCTCTGTAGCTCATTGACAGCGGATACACCGCCTAAGTGCATTGAAGAGATATTATTTTCGTTAACTATTTCGGTTCCTTGGAAGGCTGCAGGGGATCGGAAGCATAAAAAAACTTGCACGCAAAAAAAGTTCAAAGGTCGCGTCTACACGACAAACAGATGAACGGCATATCTGAACCCCTTACAGCGCACTCGTGCTGTTTACTTATCCATTATATATTAGACAACGAAATCTTTACAAGTAATAGATGATTCGGACTCTGTACCATCAAAATAGGTATTTGAACTTACCCGAGTTGAAGTTCCATAAAGTGTGTTGGCGAAGGGTTTGCTTTTGTGATTCTTTTCGCGAATTGAATTTAGCGTATTAACTATTGGAGTTCATGTCCAGTCAGTCATACTTGGCTTTAAAGCAGCACCCAGTTTGCACGTACACTTCCCTTTGTTCAAAAAAAAAAGCCCTTTTCTTTTAACCAGCAACCTCAATTTTTAATAGATATCCATAGTGACACTGATTTAGTGTTGTGTCTTTCGCCACACCTATAACCCTATAATAAGTAATCCTATTGTTAATGGGATATAATGACAAATTCGGGGCAAATTTATCCACGAATGGAACGGCCGGAATGACACATTCATTCATTATCCAAAGCGGTCGGTAGCAGCCACCTTCGAGGACGCGATGATCAAGTTTCTTCTTATATTTACAAATTTGTAGGTGTAGTTAATTTTTAGTGCTATGTTACTCACTGCTGCTTCGTTGGGCAACCCAAAGGGAGGTATTGAAACGGGACAATTTCACTGTAGCAACGACTTAGCAAATTGGGATACCCAGTGCATGGAAATGCACCTAGAGAAGTTACGGGGCTTAATGAAACGATAACGGCCGCAGCTACGTTAACCAGTCAGTCACGCTTAACTATCCTTCTCTCCTTCATGAAACCTCTACTGAGCTTGGCATGGCGTGAAAATTTGCCAATAGTAATAAGTTCCGATTGAGAATGTGAATTTTGTAAATGTGTAATGTACTACGGAAAAAGGGAACTGTCTTTTGTATATGCCCTTCTCTGGTATAAGCGGGAAGCACCCGCCGAATACCCATTTATGTTTACTTGTGTGGTTCTTGACTGCTATCATTGCGTCATTTCGGTATTGCCCTTCTTTGATCGAAGCATGCCTTTGAACTATGCGATGAAGTAGCGAAGGTGTTTTCCTCTCGAGGCCGTTAGAGGCTAAGCGTTCATAGCTTAGCATCCACGAGACCCTTCATTACACATAGTAGCATTTTGTTTCAACATGTCCAATGTGTAATTGATGAAAGTATTGAGCAAAGTGGCGTTCTACTACAAGTAATTTCTAATATCGGTCGCTTTGGCTGGCAGTGGGATTGTCATAAAGAAGACGAAACAGATTTAGACGAAGCCTATACACAAATAATGGTACGGTAATTTATCAAATGCCATAATATAACTATTAGAAACATTTTACGACTAATTTAATTTAAATAAATAATATATTCGCAGAACTATATTATATCTGTAACATATGGCTCCCTATTTATACAGCATCTACGTATACGTGTGTAAATTTCTTCCGCTCAACGGGACACGGATCATCACCAAGCAACAACAACAACAACAAAGAGTTTCCTTGTTAATTTGCTCTAATAGATGCACGAAATTTTATATTGTGAATCTAGCAGCAATCAGTATTAACGACAAAAAGTCCCACAGGTTTACCTTAGCAGAAAATAAACATAATATGACATTTTGCCTAAGTATCCACAACTTCTTGCATTGGTACAAGGACCTTCACAAGAAAATCGTTCTATATTTTTTTGTAAACTATTATATTAAAAAATTTCGAAAGAATCGTAGAAGTTGTGTAAGACTCCTAGAGATCCTAAGCATATTTGATTATTATATGACTATATTCTAATAGAATGCATATTAATTTATTACATATATAACGTACGTAATATATTACGTTTATTATTAATCATTGATGATGTAATATATTTACAAAGTTTAAAAAGTCCTACTAGGTACTAATTGAACTTCTAGGTTTACTAGCTTTGCGCGAGCTTAGCGCCGTATCAATAACTCCAACCGATGTTCGGTACATGAGTCAGGGATGCCAAGTTTTTGTGAAGTCTCGTCCTTCCATTGTCTGGAACCACGAATTTGAAAGCGGGCTTTTTCCCATATGTGTATGTGTCTATATGTTATTAAAGCGAAAACCAACTATGCTGAACAAGTTTTCAAGCTTATCGTTATGGAAAACTCGACCACTTTTTACTTATATTCTGCTAAAGTATCAACATGAATGAGTGAAAAGTGAACTGTGACCTTTATAGGATTTAATTTTTTACGACACAAGTGAGCCTACACTTAGGACGACTAGAAAAGCAGCACAACAACAAAAAAAGATGAAAGCGAGTCGAAGGATGGTGTTTTTGCCTGTTTTTCGCACAAAACGACTCCATACAGACACTAAAGGTAATAATCACTAGATATTATAGAAAAACAACTATTACAGTACCAAGCATTCAATAGATATATTAGATAGTGAGCTAATAATAATAATAATAATAACGTAAGCACGAAAAGTTCGACCCTGCGATTAACGGGAGTTATACAGAACGGTCACAAGGCCCCGTTGAGGCACTGAAAGAAACTTATGATATGATGATGTCAATAAAGGCCAACAAAAATGTCGACCGGAGGGAACATTCCATACAAGAAATGTAATCCAAAATGTGTTTTTTTGTGTTTAATATAAATAGTATTTTGCTTGAAAGCAGAGCTTCTGATTGGGTGCTCTCTCGATTCTTCTATTTCGTTTTCGACAAAAGACAAACTTTTATGACTAGATTCTTTTTTTTTTTCTGTGGTAATCTTTTTATCGTAATCGCAACAGATATATTTTCTTGCTTGCTTTTTGACAGTTTTTCGTATTTGACAGCGCATGCGTGAACATTTAACGACAACGCGAGGATATTCTTACATGCTCGACAATGCTTGCCTTCGAAAGAGTCAACTTTTCCGGTTCTACCAGATTAGGTCTAAAGCCTGTGCAAAATCCTACAAAGGATAACGACAATACATCTGAGTTGTTTATACGATTGAAGCTTTATTCAGCGTTCAGTCAACCGAATTAAAAGGATTAGGGCTTTAATCTGCCCGGGATCGAAGTCACCATATTTCCGCTGTGTTTTTCCAATTTAAAAGTACTCTTATTTGTTCCGATTATATGATTCCCTAAGAAGTTTACAGCAACAACGTTTTAATATCTTAACCTAAAAAAAGTCCTGTCTTGTGTTCTGTTGTCTGAAATGAACCTGCCTCATAGCAGCTCAGTGAACTTTAGCTTTTCAACTTCACACACGTTTATCAGCAAAAACAAGGAAGAGAGAGAGCAGGACAGTTGCGGATAAAAAACTAAGTCATATGAGAAGATAAATCCAATAATAGCGTAAAGACGTATCGATATATTGAGCTAACAGGCTTTTTCAGTAGCCATTTTAGGTTTAGACATAATTCATCATAGTTCGATTAAGATCTGACGTTCTAATGCTGTGAACGACCTAGACAGATTGCGAAGTTCCAAAATTGATTTCAAGAGGTTCATTGTCTTTTTTTAAATTAGTCACAAGCAGGTTAAGACGTGGCAAGCAACTTTGCTCGCGGGAACTCTCAGATGATAGGCAAATTCCAATTTGGTGCATAGTCCTATAATTCGATCACGTTGAGAAAGGAAGGGTTTCCGATTTATGTTGACTGAACGTGAATTCAGGCGTGATCTAACAACGGGCAAACCCTATGTTAGCTGCGTTGCGTAAAAAAAAAAAACTAAGAAAAACGCAGTTTTGTTATTTTTGCTAATCGTATTGTCGGGTGACGCATGGTCCTCCACAAGCTCGCGATTTTCGAAAACCTCTATGGCGGACTCTGAAGCCGATAGAAATTTCACGTCTTCACACTCAACCGTACGAAGACTGCCATAAATGGTATTTACTAGAATAGTTACCAAGGAAACAAGCTGAAACAGAACAACGATCTGAGGCTGCTCGAGACCACGTGAGGTAAAAGCTAATTTTGTCGATTCAGCGTTAAGCATAAAGATGGCGACTTTCTGCTAGGGGTCTGAGGCAAATTTTGCGTGTACAGCTTTGCTATAATCCATATAAGGGGCAGTTAGTTTAATAGCTGAGTCAGCAAAGAGTGCGAAGCTTAGCAGACGATTCAGCCGAGATTGCGTTCCATACGTAAATTGAACGGATTTAAACAGCGCAAGCTGTTTTTCTTTTCCAATATAAGCAAAAACACATTCATAACTAGTTACGGACCAACCTGGATATATTTAATACTAACAAGACGACCTCTAACGCATCACTAACTGATATGTACCTGATACGACTAAGCATAACCCCACAACCGCAACGTGATTTGTGAGGTGATGCTTAGTTGCCGAAATCTACATTTTCTTTTATTATTATTTTTGATCTTTTTAAATTTAAACCTATTCGATTTTGGCATTACTCAAGATATGTACGTCTCAAATGATATTGATTTATATACAATGCCCCATTTCTGGAATAGTTGTAAAAAAAAAAGTAGATTTTTAAAGTTATTACTTTAATTTCTCTACACAGATTCTAGTGAAGATATTCACATTACCCGTGACTATAATAATAAGGGATCAGATCTAAACATTTGAAATGCTCATACTAGCCCAACGTATAACCTTGTATTTTGCTTGTATAACAGAAAGTTAGGCTGCTTATTTTAAAATACCATTGAAGAATCGTTAGGACACGCCGTGAGACCGCAAGCGAATATCTCAGCAAACAAAACAACAACAACAAAAAATTTAATCAACCAATGCGATAATGTCGTTGTTCTTCCAACGATATGTTCCCGTTTCAATATTTGTCTGATGGTTACATGGCCACGCTTCAGAATTTGCAAATTCGGACGCGCTCTGAATAGCACCGTGGAAGCGAAGTATCCCACGAGTGTCTTTACGCGGTTTGCAGTGTTTCCGGCCTGTTCTTAAGGAAACTATCCTTACGCCTAAGTTGTTTGCCACCACACCCTGTCCCCACTTTGCCTCTACATGTTCGCTATTCGACTTCCGCAGCTGTCATAACGGTAGAGGCGAAGATGGCAGTTAAACTAATCAGATCCATAGTTAAGGGACAGCTTCTTTAATTATTTCTGAATTAAAGGAAAAACACTTCCAATCCATGTCCCGTATAGCCTAGTAAGCGCGATCAAGTCTTTTTTAAAGCACAAGGGTTTCCTAGACTAAAAAGATCGCTATTTTCCAAGGATTTGAACACCCGGTCACCAGTGATTGATTGATTCACTCCGTTGACGGTTCGTATGATAGGTTACTAAATTTTTATTAGCTTTAAGTAGAACCGTAGATTAGCGGCGAATAGCTGGCTTGTACGCCTTTGATAGGACCGATTATTGTTATAACACGAGAATCTTGGTTTACAACACCGTTGCGATACTGTGCCCAAGTTGACTTGAGAAGATTCAGGGGGGCAGATGCCAATAGCTGCGAAACTACAGGAAAAGGCAGTCAACCATAAACCATCCGTTACATTACTTTTGGCTTGTTTGTCGTTTTTTTTTCTTCTATTCTAACTAATCGAAGATAGTAAAGATTTTTTTGCTCAATTCAGTACTCAACACGATTTCTGTAGATACTTTACTAACTTAAAATAAAACTCAGTTATGATCGTATATTCTGCAATTACGATTCACCGTACTGCCGACTTAAATGAATTAACTAGAAACTTTTAGTTTTTTTAAACAAAGCGACCCTATTCTGATTTGTTTCGAGATCAAAACTTTGGCTTGCACAAATGCCCTCGCTAACCTGTACGTCCTTTAAGGCTTTTTCATAATCGACCCTTATATTACTTTTAAATAACTTTCGGCCACTCTAACCTAAAGGAACATACCAATACTCTACTAATAATTTAAAAAATATATTAGTACTAATTAATAGTCCAGTAGGGGAGTCGTTGTAAACGTCATTTGATCAAGAAGAATAGACGAAGTATATGCAAAGGTCAGACACTCTGAACTGAACAAAACAATTGCCAAACACACAGCTCTCATTGATTTGCTCACTGTTTACTTGTATTTGTCCCTCATGGACCTTGTTTCACCCATTCCCTCGACGAGGAAAGCATGTAGTAACATTTAAACGCTTGTGCAGGTCTCGCCCAGTAGCGAGATTATCGTTAGCCTCGAAATCATTTTTTAGTATTTCCGCTCTGATAAACCAGAATCCTAATAAGTTGCTTTTTATAACATTGTATAGTGGGCGATAATTCGTTTATGGCAAATAACCAAAACTGTAACAACTATAACACTAGGAAATGTTTTTTTCTAGCTCATTTACCGTTAACGAGAGTATCGTTTCCGATGAACTTTGATATAGTGCGTGCCGCTGTATGACCGTTGTAGTGATACTGCACCGGAACCACTGCCATCGAAGATCGGGTTCCTTCAGTAACCATTTTCATATTAGATCCCAGCTTAATTAGCTCTCCTAAGTGTAAATATCGGCAATTGATTTCAGGTGGCCACCAAGTATGCGGTGAGGAATGAGCATTTAACAGGCCAAAACAATTCAGCCCAGGCCAATAACAAAAAACAACTATGTGTGTGTGTTATCAGTTCACCAGGCAGCCTCTATTTATTTAACCAAAAATATCCTGACGAACTCTAAATAGCAACAGAAGCATTTTACAGCTCTACGAGCCCATTGGTACGAGTGCATCTGCCTTGATTCAGGTTGCAGCAATATTGATCGCGATCTTTTCTGCTCGTATATTTACATCTCTGTATAGCCAAACAAAAGTTCGCTTTACTCTTTACTGTCCGTCTGCCAATGCGCCGCAGCTGAGCGTTTGAAGCAATCAAACCTACCTCGACTACCATTCGACTGTAGTACTGTATGTGCAAACCTATCATTGTTACCTAAGGCGGAAAAGTTCCCCCATAGTCTATGCTATACTTTTGTATTCCATAGCAGCCAACGTGAGGATTCCAAGCAGAGATGAATAGCATCGTCCGACTTCTTTTCTATTCTCGTTCCCCTGTTTCTCATCCCGTTTGCCCCTCCCTACTTTGATACGAGTTCACATCAGACAGCCTTACTGACGAATCTGGGGTGGAGTTCGTATCCAGCTTACTCAATAAGTCAATGGGCGACGCAAGAGATGCTACTACAAAGAGATAGGTCGTTGACAGCGTCACCCAAGCACGAGTTTCTGTTGAGCGGTAGCAAAACAAAAAAAAATCTACCGTCAATGCAGACAGTGAGGCGTACTGCGGCGCGCAAGGCACAAACTCAACAACACCAAGCAGGGTGGCACCCACGAACGTCCACGAAACAATTCAAAGTTTTGCACAATGCTCACATGTTTACCACGGGCGCGTCGTTTGCTTTGACATGCGGGACCGAAGCCCGGAGTTAGATCTTCTGTGTCTACTTTACCTTGCAACCAACAACCCCTTCCTTGGGGGGCGCGCTTCCACGAGCTTTCGCTTTGCTTATCGTTCTTCTCTCCCGCCTCTCTCTGGATATCCCTTTAGATCTGTCGCGTCTACCCGTGATACGAGCCCCATACAATTTAACGAGAATTTTGGCTTTTCGGTTAGACCAGCCATTCTGGGGTATTTCAGCAGAAATATAGAGCAGCAACTACG